GGCCTCCCAAAGTGCTGGGATTACAGGCGTGAGCCACCGCGCCCGGCCCCAGTGACTGTTTTTTTTTAAACTAGCATGTTACTCTCTTTACAGCTCTGAAGAGACTGAGGGACTCAGCCAATGCCAACGATGTGGAAACAGGTGAGTGTGCACAGTGGGTTCCACTACAGGGACCCATGGGCTGGTTGGGGAAGGAAAAGGCCAGGTAATCAGTATATGGGAAGGCAGTCTACAAGCTCACCCCCTTGGAGCAGGCTCACGTATTTATTGTCTGACTGTGCAGTCATCTTGCTGAAGGTAAGTCTAGCTTAGACACTCACTTTCCCCATGCTCCCCTGTCACTTTGTACTTCCTGATGTCATAGCATTTACCACCCTGTGGAATCCTTGATGGTGGAGACCATGTATACTTTTGTATCCCTGGCAGCCAGCATGGTCCTCTGCAAAGAGTAGGCACTCACTTTGGAACTTCTGGTTAATGGGAGTGAATACTCAACTTAGCTGCCACAGCCAGGTGAGGTGGCTCATGCCTGTAATCCCAGCACTTTGGGAGGGTAAGGCAGGAGGATCACTTGAGCTCAGGAGTTCGAGACCAGCCTGGACAACATAGGGAGACCCCGTCTCTACAAAAAGTAAATGTTGGCGGGGCGTGGTGGCTCACACCTGTAATCCCAGCACTTTGGGAGGCCGAAACGGGCAGATAAAACAAGGCCAGGCACGGTGGCTCACGCCTGTAATCCCAGCACTTTGGGAGGCTGAGGTGGGCAGATCTCTTAAGGTCAGGAGGTCCAGACCAGCTTGGCCAACATGGTGAAAACCTGTCTTTACTAAAAACACAAAAATCAGCTGGACATGGTGGCATGTGCCTGTATTCACAGCTACTTAGGAGGCTGAGGCAGAAGAATCACTTGAACCTGGGAGGTGGAGGGTGCAGTGAGCCGAAATCGTGTCGCTGCAGTCCAGCCTGGGCAACAAAATGAGACTCCACCTCAAAACAAAAAGTACAGTATAGTTGGAGAGGAAGGACGTAATGTGATATTATTTCCAAAAACACGCACACACACACAAAAGTAAAGTTAGTGTTTAATTGAAGAGGTGTAAATTTTGGAGCCAGAAAAACATGGGTTTATATTCCAGCTTTGCCTCCTGTTATCTGGGTTAATGTAACTTACATCCTTTGTAATGTCTTTGACCTGAGGTGTCCTGGTCTGTAAAATGCACTTGACACCATGCTGGGTCATTGAGGGGTTCAGCATTCAGGTACCTAATGCCTGACTGGTGCTCATTGTATGGTAACAATTCCCCTAAAATAGCACAAGATGTTAATAGTAGAGGAAGAGGATGAACAGGTCACTAAGTGGGTATGGAAGTGGGAGGGGCTGACTCAGCTTGAGGAGACAGCTGGATTCCCGGAGAGGAAGCTGTCGGGACTTCATCTGAAAGGACTCAAGTCCTTGAGAGGTTTGCTGGGTGAAAGAGACTAAAACATCTGCTCTAAAATGGCATTTGGCAGCAATTTTCTCCATTTTAGCTGGACATGTACATTAATACATAATGCGTCACATTTATAGTGCCTCCCTACTTTTCAAAGAAGGAATTTCATATCCATTATTTTCATCACAGCAGCTCTGGAAATTAGCAGGGCAGATATTTCCATTTGCTGGTGAACTGGGACCCAAATCCAGGCCTTTGTACTCCCAAGTCAGTCCTTCCACTGCCCTATGCTGTTGGCAATGTACTCCTTTTTCATCCTTTTTTCCTCTATATAATTTCAAATGACCTGTCTTTAAGCTCAGAGGTTCATTTTTCTGCTTGTTCAAGTCTGCTGTTGAAGCTATTATATGTTTTATTTCATCCATTGACTTCTTTAGCTACAGGATTTCTGTTT